ACTGTTAGGGTTAACTAAACATAGCGATTCCTCATATATTACGAGGAAATCTAGAAAATGTCGATGAATTAAAGTTCATTTCACTTCCTTTCGTTGTCTCAGAAAACTTGTATATTTGATTTCTAGAGATCGATCGATTTCGTTCAAATTTTGTCATTTAAAATTACGCATCTTAGAATTCAAACTTTTTACGAATAATTAAAAAACAAAAACAAAATAACACAGATTGTGAGCTAAAATTTTTCAATTTGCTCAAAAAGCTCGTGACTTATTGCGAATTACGCAAAAAGTGATTTGAACGCTCTGTCTAAAACATTTTTCAAATGTCTTCGGTCCCGCAGTGGACTGATCATTAAGACACGGTTCTCAGCAGATCACCGAAGTCAAGCATCACTGGCTACGGTCAGTGTGCGGGTGGGTGACCACTTGGATCAGTCTGCGTAGGGACCGAGGGTGTGCGGTATTGGTCCTCGTTAAACTGTGCTACCGTAAAGTGCTCGACTTCGCGCGCAGGTCGTCGGGCTACCGAAGCGGGGGTGCCATCCCCTCCGCAGAGGATCAAAATTGTGATGGCATGTTGTCGGATCATCCTCCGGGATGTTTCCCAGACCGTCTCCAATAGCCCATTGTGCAGCTCTAGTGCGACGTAAATTAACAACAACAACAAATCGAATGTCTTCGAGAGTCAAAAATGAGAGAAAATCATTATTTAATTTAAAAAAATAAAATTTAACATATTTCGTTTTATAAAATAGTAAAAATATTAATCTTTATCTTTCATTTTCAGATCCTTTCACTGTGAAGAGAGTTTCAACTATTCCAAAAGATGGGAAATCAGGTAAGTCATTGATTTGAAATTTACTTAATTAAATATATATTGCCATCCGAATGAAGAACATTATTTTGGTTAACGTTGTTGAGTTTAACCATATTTTATATGTTCATTGTTATTGACTTACTATTAAGGGAAACATCCCTGACGAAGATGAGATATGGCAAGGGTATAAGAATTTAATGGTGGTTTCATACATCTGCTCGGCGGTCTCCAGCACCCGCCAGGTATAACTTTTACATGGGGTGTGTTCAAAAATTGACAAATTGAAGTGTAGTTAAATTTAAAATTGGGGTCTAATACTTATGCTGGATGTATATATTTTAAATATACAAATACATAGGTTGCGTTCAAATATTTAAAACTTAGTAGTGTATTAATAAATTTAAAACTAAGTTTGAATTTCAATCTTATAGCGCAGTAAATTTAGACTTTTTCGCCGGAAAAAATAATGCCTAAGCTTTTCTTTTCATAGAATGCTTTGTTATATTATTATAAAGGATACTCGAAAACTTTCTTCTGTTCGCTTCCCTCTTTATTGAATGAGAGAAGTAAAATTCTTCTCGACTGGCAGGTGAGGCATATTTTCAGACCTATGTTTTTCCCATTGAATTGAATGAGACGATCGGAATAATAGTTAAGAAGTTATAAGGATTTTACGTATAAAAAGCACAAATTTGTACTTATTTACGCATCTGATATTGCTATTTAAACAAGACATATGTATGCTTTTTACGAAAATAGGACTATACGAGATTTAATGGAACAAGTAGTTCAAAAGGTGCAAGACTTTTTATGAATGAACAGTGCTTCTTTTAACACGACTTATATGTACAACTAAAATTAATATCCAGGAACTATTTGAACATGTAGTGTGAATTTTCCAATGTTATTTACCACGCTAAATTTTATGTGACCAATCCCAAGACTGATAGTTTAAAAGTTTTAAGCATCTTATGTACAAAAAGTACCATTTTGTACTTGCACTTATTGACATATCTTTCATCGCTATAAGACGTGTGAGGTATTGTTTCCTATCTTTTTTCGTTCAATCGAATAACACACCAAAAACGAATCAAAAAGGCATATATTTCAAAAGTTGAATGATATTTTTTATTTATACAAAATGTATTACTTTGAACGTCATTTATTATGAAGATATTGTAACTTCAAAACTATTCATATTAATTCGAATTATATCTCATTCAATTCTGAAAAGAAAAAAAAATATCTTACATGTTCAGATAGTCCCAAGATCCTAGATAGCAAAGTAAAAAGTGTGAACCATAGCTCTTTTTAAGCATAAAACGACTTGCAACTTTTGAACTATTCGTCCTATTGTATACTTTCATTCGATCCATCTTAAAATAATATAAAGGAAACAATGCCCCACTTATTTAGTTAACCATAACAGATGCATAAATAAGTGCACTTACGAGATTGCTCTTTTTGTAAATAAAATTTTTATAATTTCTAAACTATTAGCTCATCCATCGCCTCGGGATTAGTAGCATTTAATTTAGTGCGAAAAAATCAAAAATCCTTCAATTGTTTGTTTAAAATGCATATATGGGGCTAAGAGTAATCAAACTTTAGACTTCTGGAAATAAAAAAAATCATCGACAAACGTCTCATTCTACGCAGGACAGGGAAAATTTAATATGGCACCCGGAAAACAAATGATCTGAAAGTTGGTCTCAATTTTCTATTCAAGCAATATCAAAAAACTCATATTTAAAAGTAACTTAAATAAAACGAAGAGGCTTTTATTAGTTTTCGTTGATTGAACTGAATTGACAATGGAATGTGTTCTAATCATCCCTTGGATGCCTTTTTGAAAGATTTCTCTGCCGAAAATTGTACCGCTGTGGGTCTTCTGACACGATCTAAGCATTATGCATTATTCTTTCCCCCCTCCAAAAAAAAAAAAAAAAAGAATTTACGCTTATTTTGCGTCAATTCAATGACTATTTCTTTTTAAATTTTTTCAAAATATTTAAATTCAATATTTCGACCCCCCCTCCACGTGGATATTATTGGAATCTTTAATTTTAATAAATACTCTCAATTCTATAAATGCAGTTCTAGATAAGATGACACGCGAGTTTTGCATTTTTAAGGGGCAGTAAAATATGATTGATATTTTTACTTATGTGTAAAGAAACTGAAGTAGGAATAGAATTTGAGATAAAAAACAATTGTTCTATTTATCGCCAATCTTCCTATGTCACTTGGTTACTTTACAATAAGACAAGGTATATTGATTTTAAAACTAATATGAATAATAATAAAAGGGTATTATTTAAAAGAAGTATGAATAAAAATTTTATTTAATAGCCAACACTTGTGATGAAAATTTGTATGAAAAATGATTTTTTAATTTTGTTAGCAGTTATAGTTACTAAATTATAGTTGTGTCAGATATAAAAACAAATGTAGAGAACTTAATTATTTTATTAGGAAAACAATAAATGTTAAAGGTAAAATATTGTAAAAAGAACAGTTTTATTTCAAACGTCATCTATTAAAGTACTTTTGTCCGTCGTGGGGTTTACCTTTTCCAGATAAGATACCTGTCCTATGAGCCCGGGTAACATTAGCTATTTTTTCTCTTTATTTTGTTTGATTTCTCTATCATTTTCACACTGGACTTGGTTTCTAACTCCTTTTGATTGCTTTTCTTTGAGTACGTAATGAAAGTTGCGTTTAGAGCAATATAGACACTTTCATCCGAAGTGATATTCTTTATATTTAGTTAAAATGTAGGGCTGCCATTTATATAAGAAAAAAACACTTTACTTTTAAACTTTATCCTAATGTTACATTTCATTGCAAGCCAATTTCAATGACCACAACACTCACTTCGAAATAACTTATTTCATTTTATTTATTAACTTCATTTTACTTTTTTTAAATAACTCAAATGTTTTAATTTCATATATATTATGCAAAAGTATTTAAATCGGAGCAGATTTTCAGTTATAAACCTGCAACTTTGTTTAATTGTTGCATATTTATTGCTTTGTTGATCGGAAACAAATTTGCTTCATTTTCTTAATCATATGTTTAGATTTGCTGCTTTCGTAAAATTTATGTATCTTTTTTTAATAATAGTTATTTTGTAATGAATGTAACAATCATAAAAACATACAGGAAACTATTTTATGAAATAAATTGGCATTTGAAATCCAATCCAATAGCCTCTTTACATACACACCATTTAAGTTATAAACTAACCTTCAAATAAATAAAATTCTTTAAGGGTGTTTTGAAATGATTAAAAAACTACATTTAAAATAAATAAATGAATCTTTTCCACAACTAAGCGTCACAATTTAAATGTAGGTATGGAAATTATTAATAAAAATTGAGTAAAATGTTATTTAAAGGTAAATATGATAATGTATGAAATGAAATAAATATTCCACTAAATAAAAAAAAAAATTTTTTTTTTAAATATACTATAAAATTTGAGTGCAACTCAGTAAAAGAACCAACAAGTTATGGATGGCCTTACATGCTATGGAATACTCTTACAACCTACACCCATAAATATGTATGAGATAAAGCAGGGTAATTTGAAGCTGTGGACATTTTCCCATAGTAAAAAGGAATCGGCTAACCTAGTAAGTGCATCTGCATTGGTCTCGCTATGGGGTAAAATGAATTTTAAGATGTTTTTTTCAAAATAAAAACTTTAAAGGAAGCACAAAATGTTTCTGAAAATAATTTTTTTTAAAGAATGAGTAATTTGATATGAAATTAAAAATTGCCATTTACATTTGGGGGTGTTTGAACCCCCTCCCTTACCTACGTCCTTGCACGATCTACTGGGAACAGTTTCTTACGATTAATCCACTCGTGGAAAAATTAATAATTTAAGTGAGCTGCTGTTCCAGAAAGAGTAGATAATGAGCAGAATATTAAGGTAATGAAACAATTTTCTGTTCACCTTAGTTTATCTATCTGTACAGTGCCTGGATAATATTTTTTTATTCTTAACTGGTTTTGAAAATCTTCCACTAATGAAAGCATTTTTCTTTTTAGTTGCAGTTGTTGTATATTCCAATATGCTTTTACTCACTTTATCGATTTTGCTTGTGTCTTTCCAAAAAGGACATTGAGTGAGAGATGTTCTTTCTCAAGAGATTGTTATATCATAGAAAGTTGTCTTAATAAAATTTTTTATAAAAGTTACTTTTTGATTCCTTTGCATTAAATTATAGTTATTCAGATTTTTTGAAGGAAAAAGTTGTCACCATTTATCTGTCAGTGAATAAGATTAAATTATTTCAAGTAGTTTGCAGTTTCTTGGGCGACCTATTAACCCAGATTCTCGGGGTTAGACATTCATCTGAAGTACTCTAATCCTATTTCTTTTTATAGCCCCTGTTGTACAGCCACCCATTTTTTTTGGTTGACGACTGTCATTGTTCAACTATGTGGGCTTGTAATTTCAAACCCAACCCAAAAGACGAGGTATCACCTGCATCAAGTAATGGAACAAACCCACATTCTCATTACACAGGAGAAAGAAGCTCACGAAAGTCACTCAGATTTGGCCCGTCAGCAAGGAACCTAATAGTTGGGATTTTTTATGTCAGCACTGTGGTATGCGCACCGGAAATAGAATTTACATCGACCAGCTATCGCCAGGATTCGAATCTTTTGGTCACCTTTTTGGGAGAAGAGCGATTTATCCCCTGAGCTATTGTGGTTTGAAACAGTGACAGTGAATTGCAGAGAGCTGCGATGGCTCAGGGTATAGAGCATTCGCCTTCCAATGAGGTGACCCAGGTTTGAATCCTAGCGATGGCTGGTGGACACTAATTCCACATCCGGCTTGCACCGACCACACTGCTTGCGTAAAATATCCTCAGTGGTAGACGGATCATGGGTTAGAGTCCCTTTGCTGTCAGGCTAACTGTGGGCGATTTACCTGTTCATGTAACGCAAATGTGGATTATTTCCATCAAAAAGTCATCCACAAAGGCAAATTTCTCCCAATACTTGATCCAGGTGTTTCCTTGTCTTCTGGATTGGGTTCAAAATTACAAGGTTACTAAGTTTAACATTGGAAGCCGTAAATTAAAAATTCGGTCAGCTGTTCAATGACTGCAAAATATTGTTGTTTTTAATTTAACGTCGCACTAGAGCTGCACAATGGGCTATTGGCGACGGTCTGGGAAACATCTCGGAGGATGATCCGAAGACATGCCATCACAATTTTGATCCTCTGGGGAGGGGATGGCACCCCCGCTTCGGTAGCCCGACGACCTGCGCGCTGAGTCGAGCACTTTACGGTAGCACAGTTTAACGAGGACCAATACCGCACACCCTCGGTCCCTACGCAGACTGATCCAAGTGGTCACCCACCCGCACACTGACAGCAGCCAGTGATGCTTGACTTCGGTGATCTGCTGGGAACCGTGTCTTATCGATCAGTCCACTGCGGGACATGACTGCAAAATAAAAATAAAATGAATTGCAGACCAATTGCATGGTGTCCTCAAATGATCAGCTTATTTGATAGACTTGTATAAATTAATAAAAGACATCAAAAATTATTATTGCTGTTTTAATGGGTAAACTTATTTTATTGAAACAGAATCTCAACTGTAGTGAGTTCAACCATTTCTATTTTTCATCGGTGTTTATTGCTAAGAAAGATGCAATTATTATTGTCCACACACTCTTCATATATATTTTAATGAGAGGATATTCTAAACCAGATTAAATATTTTCTCAAAGGTTAACATTGCCGAATCATCAGATTAAGAGAAAGCAGAACAAACAAATGAACCGAACAAAATGAAAATGAAGCGATACTAATATTCAAAAGTGGATATCAAAGCTTTTTGTTTACAAAAAGAAACATTGACAATCTACCAATTATGGAAATGATAGTATTCTTAGTTGCCATCTTTTTATTTTGCTCAGCCTGGATTCAGTGAAGTAACAAATTTAATTATACTAAAATCAGAGACCGATTTCATATAACTAGGTGAGGAAACTTACAATTGTTTTTAACAAAATTTATCTCGATATTAACAATCTTTAAAAATTTAATTCCGTCTTTAGATAATTTGTGATTCAGTAACCAGAAGTGAAGCTACTGTTGCTCATTGATGTTTTGTATTTTACAAAATATGAAATAATCTATTTGCATTTAATTATGAATACTTTATTCCTGCTTTATATTGTTATTTTGTTTGAAAGAAATAATTCACATCAGATGGTCTTATAATTTACCAGAGAATTAGAACATTTCATAGTTATATCTTATATGCATTATGTTACATAAGAAAACATGCAGGCCTTCATAAAATTTTAGATTTCAGAAAATAGGTATAACAGTGTTATATACAAGATGTGCAGTATGTTCTCATGCTTTAAAAATAATATATTCAGTTCTATAAGATTTTATGAGTCACACTATTTTGGTAAACCAAAATTAGAGTATTTTTAAGGAAATTAAATATTTTTTTTTTTGGTAAACATTTTTGATTGAAGGTCACTCATTTTTAATTATGATACATTAAACAGCCTGATGAGTCATAAACAGAAGGATAATTACTAGGGGGCGTATAAAATTTTTTATTTTGCAAAGTAGGTGGCAGTCAAAATATATGCGGGAACCTACAACTGAAAGTATTGCTGTACAAACAAAGGCTGAAATTTGAGAGTATGGCACATCCAACATTAAATTAATTTTTTTCTTCATAAAATACAGTTTAGATTCATGACGCTTTGAGGCCAGAAAATGATGATTCTGTTGTAGTTGAAATCTAAAATGAAAGAAAAGAAAATAGCATCAGTAATTATAGTTAATAAATAATTTGCCAACTTGGAAAAGATCACAAACAAAAATCTCAATACAATATGAACAAAAGTCAATGTACCAAGAAATATTTTGGTTAAAATTAAAACATTTAAAATCAGCAAATTAAATATTTTTTATATAATTCAGAAAGGAATATCACTCATTAATAGAAATTAAACTAAAAGAAGCTATTATTTTAAAAAATATTTTTTTGTTAAGAGCAAAATTGTTAAAACCTAAGAAGCTTCTGAGATTTCTGATTAAGTCAAATAAAATTTTTACAGAATTATCAATTGATTAAAGAGCTCAATAAAAATAGTTGCAACTGCTTATGACAATTGCTAATAAAAGTTTAACAATTAAATTGCCTTTTTTGGCTAAGTTGTTATTCATTTAAAAAAAAAAGAGATATTAAAAAAAAACAACAACATTAATAGCAATATTTGTATCTCATTCTTCTAAAAAAGACTTTAGATTTATATACACCCCTCACACACAATCCTTCTAGTCTCTCCAAAATGATTACTCTCGAGGCATGATCACTTTCTAGGTCTTCATTTTAAATATCACTTTCTACGACTTCATTTTAAATATTTTTGTAAGACTGAAAAATTGCTCCTATCAACTATAGTGATGCTGAAAAATTAATCATCGCTTTTAAAAACCTTGTACCAAAATTAAGTACTTTTAAGGGCCCTTATTTTCCAAAATAAAAATTATACAGTTTTTAAGGACCGTGGGAAATGGGACCATTTATGTTATAGAGTATGAAAAGTTCATAAAAATTTACAAACAACATTTTTCGACTCAGTCCAGTATCATGGAAAGTTCATGTCAAAAGTTGCAACAAAACTTTCCTATAACTAATACTTTGAAAATTTTTTTCCTTCAGAATAAAAGTTTTATTTTAAATCATGTTATAACACTAACTGAAATCTCTTTGTTAAATAAATGTTTTTGAGGAAAGAAAAAACCAATATTGAAATCTTTTTTAAAAAGGCATAATAAATGTCATATCTGCTATTTAGAAACTGGCAAATCTCATCTTTTGCGAGCTTAAAATGGAATATAAATACCAGTTTTATATATTTTTTTTTGTTGTTGCTGATTTTAGAGATTGTGTGTATTTTAAAATTAGTTTCATATTTTTTATTAATTGCAAAACTGATGATTATTTAGAGAAAATTTAAATTCATTCTAGATCAAAATACAGAAGTTCCATTCCTATAAATTATAATAATCAAAAAGCGTCATACTTAATTCCAAACAGTGGTTTTCAGACAGAGTTCCCCCCCCCCCCCAAAAAAAAAACCCTTTTAGTGCTCTATGAAATTGATACTCTGAATTCATATTTTAACGCTTCAAGATCTTTGTTAGAAATCGTTAGCGCTCCAATA